AAAAAAAAAAAAAAAAAAAAAAAAAAAAAAAAAAAAAAAAAAAAAGGTCAGAGCCCAAGACTCAAACTTGGGTTTTCTGAATCTGGTGCTTTTTATACCATATGACAATCCCTACCCTCAATTAAAATAAAACTAGTAACAGAAAACAAAATATGATCAGTAGTCTTAGATGACATTTACATACAAAACTGTAAGGTTTGCCAAATGCTCGATTTAAATTATCTCACTACACCCTCACAGCAAGCCCGTGAGGTAAGCACTATAGGTATCATCTCCATTTTGCTGATGAAGAAACAGTTTCGGAGGCAAATGCACTTAGCTCTCTTGAAAGCAGAATTTGAACTCAAACCTGACCACAGGGAATTCTCTGATCCTATAGCACAAGCTATAACTGCTTCTCATACAAAGTATTATGAGAATCCTATTGAGGAGAAGGCTTCATGCAAAGAGTGGCACTGGTTTCTGGCATTTAAGGATTAACCAAAATGGGAACAGCACAAACCAAGGTCTGGAAAACAATACTTAACTTTTAGACATTGAAACAGGAAATCAGTGTAAAGCTTTAGCATTAAGTCATGTACAACAGCCTGGAGGCAATGGGAAAGCTCACAGAAGGGTTTTGAGGAGAGATGACAGCTGTACTTTAGGAAGATTACTGTGGTAGTGTTGTTAGGATAGCAGAGACACCAGGTAGGGAAAGTATCTGAAATCAAATTAATGAAAGGTTAAAAGGGGCTGAATTAGGGTGTTAGTAGCAGCAGGGTCATTTTGAGAATTGGAATTCACAAAATTTAGATGGGAAGTGGATCAAGATATGTCAGATAGATGTTAAGATTCTTATGCTTACCAGAAACAGAGAAAATCAGAAGGACCTGATTTAGAGAATATGGAAAAAGTTTGTTTTGAGTTTAGGTCTCTACCTGGCAGCATATACAGGTGTTGTCCAGCAGGCAGTAATGAGGAAGGGTTAATAAATAGATGTTAAATGAAGTCAGATGAGGAGAAAAAGGCTGACACAATTTGAGGGGACTGACAACATTTTAAGGAACAAAAAGAAAATGGAGTCAGTGAAGACAGAAGTCGGAGAAGGCAGGACAACTACCAGAATCATGTGATGCTGTAGAAGTGGGATTTTTGATTTTATGATTTGTAGCATAAGCCCAGAGTAGTTTAAATATGGATTGGAGAAAAAAAGCAGAAAAGGAAGTAGAGTAGACTGGAGTATGATCATAAGAGATAGAAGCTAGATCAAGGGCAAAAGTGGAAAATGAGAAGATATTTCTTCCTCTGGAGATGAGTGAAGAAGATATAGAAGAGTTCTTAGCTTGGGATCTATAAAGTTATTTTCAAAATATTTTGATAACTGTATTTCAATGTAATTAGCTTCCTTTATAATGCTATGCATTTTATTTTATACATCTAAAAAATTATTGAGAAGAGATCTCTAAGCTTTGAAAGACTGCTAAAGGGGTCCATGACACAGAACAGGTTAAGAACTCTTGATATAGAGGAAGAAATGTTTAAGAAGAAATGAAGAGTTGAGGAAATCCAGGGTAGATGGCATGAATGTTGAAATGGAAGGAAACAGATGGCTCCGAAGGCAAAAATGAAGATCTGAGCCAGATCACATGAGAAATTCTGATAGAGAACCAAGTGAACACAAGACTGTTCAGTTATGAAACATTTATTTAACATTTAATGTTAATTTGCTAATGTTAAATCTTTACTTACTTGTCAATATAACAATGAAAAAAAACCTTTCCTATTCATGGGGCATAGGTCCAAAACCTCTTCCTTAAGGTCTTTTAATTATACCAGCCCACAGATCTCCTTTTTCTTTGATATGGCAGGGATAGCACTTAATTGTTTCACTCATTAGACAATCTAATCAAGTTCCAGGTTGACTCAACCTTTACCTGCATTAAGGCCAACCTGAACAAACAAAATCCCTAAAATACTTTTGAGAGATTGACATTAAAAAAGTTAACACATAAAAGTAAAAGAGACAAAAGAAAACTTTATTATGACAAATATTTGGGAGCTATAATATGTACAAAAAGGCACATGGTGCCAATTTTATTGCAGATTTCACTACAGCTCAAGATCAAGAGTTACACTTTTGTTAGTGGTCTGGCAAGATCTTGAATTACTACAGAATTCAGCTGTGCAATAGTGCTGATCTTTGCATGCTTAGTGCTGGCATACTTATTCTTGATAGCCTGAAAGAGTTAAAAAAAATTTGATAGACATTAAGGAAAACAAACCACCAAACATAGATCTTAGGTGAACTGCATGTACCTATCTACAAAAAACTAAAGCTTTGAAACACAAACACTCTCCCTCTCTCTCTTCTCTCTAACACAATTAATTATCCTTGCCTAAACCCAGAAATTCCAGAATGGTCCCTACCCCTTTTCCACTTACCATGTGCTTTGTAAGCCCTCGGTTCACCAGGATCACATTCTTAGCCATGTGCTGCATTACAGGAAGAAGGGCCTCCTCCGTATAAGACATGTAGTGTTGGAGAATTGGAGTCTAGAGTCAACATATTAAATGAGCAAATAATTGTAAAGCACTTAGCACAGTGCCTGACACAGGGTAAGCACTATATAAATGTTAACTATTATTATTAACATTAAGAGATTTTTAAATGCTAAACTACACTTTTCATAAAATGAAAACTGCTACCTTGATTGATGACAGGGGTGTGTGTATGTGTGTGTGTTTCTGTGTGTGTGTGTGTGTGTGTGTCTGTGTCTGTGTCCAGGAGAGATAAATGACTGCTGCTTGTAACCAGATATTAGGGAAGAGGTACTGAATTGAAAGAGGAACAAATAAGAACTTACTTCAGAGTACTTGCTACTCAAATTCTATAAAGAATCCTCATTTCTTCAAGCCTCTCTCTCATTTGGTTTGGAGGTGAAATCGGAAGAAACAATATCTTAGTATATGTTTTATAAATCAGACTGGCCTTAGCAGATTTCCAGGCTGAAAAGTCACAACAAAAACACAAGTGCCAAGGAGTTCACTCAAGTGTAAGATGGAGCTTACCCATTCACCATTATCGAGGACTTTCAATGCCAAGCAAAATGCACTTGCTGCAATCTGAGAAGGAGGGAAGTGGACCATATCATAGTCTACCATTGTGAGTTCCATCAGGTATTTGGCTAAGGTGTGCTGTTCAATGTCGACCTGGAATGAGAAGTCATTTTCTTCTTGGCAAAGAGTCCACTAAACTTTTGTTTGGAAACCATTTGATCTAAGAAAAGTATCAAACTCCACTAAAGAAAACTATACCCACAAATCTATAACTTTAAACTTCCACGATCATACTACCACCATTCTACTACCTTTAGCCAGCCAGCCCAATCAAAACCAGGCCAGGCTTCATATCCCATCCAACTGTCTATACAGGTATCTTCTTGCCATCTGCCTTAATACAATCTCTGGCACTCGATTCGGCCGCACATATACTAAAATTGGAATGACACAGAGAAGATTAGCATGGCCCCTGCGCAAGGATGACACACAAATTTGTGAAGTGTTCCATATTAAAAAAAAAAAAAAATAGTACAATCTCTGGACTTCCCAAAACTATGCCCTGAAGGACTTAAATCTACTGATTTTGGGAAATTCAGCCCACAGTGTAAGTTGTTCTGAACATGAATTGTTCTAAATGGCGAGAAAGCAAAAAAATCCTCTGTATTTTGCTGACCCTAGACCAGAGAATGCTTCATATCAGATCAAGTCACCTTCTTGCCATCATGAGACCTTATCAGCACCCAAAAATGTTTCAACTCTAAGATTTTAAACCCTGAAATTCTCCTCTTTGACCACAATTCCTGTCCTCCTACATGTCCCAATGCCTCATTCTTCCCAAGTCTGGGCTCTCTCTGTCTTCACCTTGATCTCTGGATTCTCATTTCTTGCTTTGCCAGTCCGTAAACCCCCTGACCCTACAGTAACCCAATTTAACCCATATCAGCAGGACACTACTATCCTTAGCCCTCCAGTCCCTTGCCCTGCTGCTGGTCAAGCCCTCAATCCTTAACTATAGGTCTCTATCACACCCCCCTCCTCAAAGTGCTACCAACTGTGAACAAAACCATGCCCACCACGTGGCAATCCTTTCACTGGTTTCCCGTTGATTATCACATGACCTACAGAGGCATTTGGAATAGTCACAAGCTCCCAAAGCTAGTACCCAATTGTTGTCTTTCAGGAGAGTCTTTCACTTCCTATTTTACTGGATCACCTGAGGTTATCTGCTACTTTTAAAGCCCTTTCCAGCCTCCAACCTGCCTTTATAGTCTTACTACACTTTCATTCTTTCATGTTCAGCTTTCTCCCCTCATGATGCCAATTGTCACCTTCACATCCCTATAACCATTTCTTGTTCATAGTAGGCCCCGGCCTATCTATTCAGGTTGGGCAAAGTGTAAAGAACAAGAAACGTAAAGGAGGTTAGTACAACTCTGGTACTTAAAGGCCTGCTTACCTTAGAACATAATATCAACCATACCAGCAGCCTGAATCAAGGATTCAACTCACCTCTCCAACCTTAGATGCTCGGCGTAGAAAGTGCAGGGGTAAAGGACGACCCAGACTAAAGTCTAAAGCTTTTAGAATCTTCATTTCCATCTGCCGAATCTGGTGCTTGCTGTAGGTGTGGTCAGTTACAAAGGCAAAGTCCCCGATTTCAGGTGGGTACATCTCTTCATACTTGCTGGCAATGAACATGGCTGTAACACCTACCAGCTGCAGCAATTTCTTAGGCACATTATTATCCTGCAAGATTGATCCATGAAGAAATTTAGGCAATGAGAGTGGCTACCAAATGGATGCAATGCAAACAGACTTCTCTTCACGACAGGTAGCTCCTTCAGGGACCACTTCCGTGGCAGGTACCACTGAAAGGAAACATCAGAAACATCCTCCTCTGCCCCCTTAAACTCAAATCCCAACCAGAAGATGAACGCTATTGAGAAAACACTATTGGCAGGTTTTGACAGACATTTGGCTTTTAATAGTCATTAGAAGACTGTTTTTAGTCATTAACCCATCTGAAGAAACATGAAATACCTCTAACCACTAATAACAGATCTTACAAGTGCTTCTCCCTTACCCTCCCTCCAATGTTGAGTCCTGGGCAGATTACAGTTCTACCTTCCTGTTATTATGGGGCAAAGAGTGACTTAAGCTTTATAGGATCTGAAGAAGTCAGAGAAACTTCATAGCCACAAAGCAGGTTGAAAGAGAGAGTGCCCAATTCACTTTACACCATGGAATTTTATGTATTTGAGCAGCAGTGTGGTGTAGTGAGTGGAAAGAGTGCTGCACCTAGAATCTGGAAGACCTCGATTGGAACCCCTCCCCAGACACATTAGCTGTGTGATCATGATGTCACTTCACTCAACTTCCAAGCTTCAATTTCCTCATCAGAAAAATGGGGATAATAAAATGGACCTCAAAGGGCTTGTTGTGGGGTTCAAATGAGAATGTACCTAAGCGTTTTGCAATTTTTTACACCCTATATAATTGTCAGCTACATCATGATGAATAGGGGTAGTAGTACTGATATTGAACATTTTAAGGTTTACAAAGCACCTCATTTAAGCACACACAACTCCTGAGGGCTTATGTAATGTATTATATTATGTAATAATATATACTATTATGATCATTTTCATTCCCATTTTCAGGTGAGGAACCGGAAGTTCAGCAAGTTAAAGTAATTTGCTTATGGTCTCACAGCTAGCATGAGGACGATTCAAACTCCAGTCTTCTTGAATCCTGAAGCCAGCCCTTTATCCACAACACTTTATTTGTATCACATTCCATGTGATACATCACCAGAGGCAGCTCCAGAGTAGAAGGAAAAATTCCTTTCAAATGACAACTTCATAGGTTTTACAGAGATCATGACACAGTACTTCTCTAGACACTCAAGATTACCTATGCTCACCTGCATAAATCGGTCAATAATGGCCACAGTCATGTACATAGTCTCCTGAAGCAACCTAAACTTCATCTGCACTTGTACCAACCAGTCAATTAGGATGGCTCTCATGTTCCCAGTGACTTCTTGACCCACCAGGTATTTTGGTCTGATGGCCTGCTCTTCCTGCATATAAAAAAAAAAGTAAATTGTCTTTAGAAATTATATTCCATGAAGCACAGTATCTTGAACACAGGGGATACCTGCATCTAGGAAGGTCAGTTATTGTTAAATGGCTAAAAGTTCTCCTTTATGTCCAAAATATAAAGTTCATTATCTTAATGCTAGTCATTCAGACTTATTATTAGCTGGACTTTATTAAGACTCTGTAAATTTTTTTTACTAATTTTTTTAAATGTTTTAAAAATTATTTTAAAAAACAAATTTTTTTTGCCTCAACTTGCATTTCCCCCCAAACCCTTCAAATAATCATAGGAAGTCTATTTTGGAAGATTCTGAGATAAGTACTAACCTCAAGTTGTCTAAGATAGCAATAAATATCTTTCACATATTCACTACAAAGGTTTGGATCAGCTGTATCCTCTGCATCAACATCTTTCACTGCAAGTATGACATCGGAAAAAGCTTGGCACAGAAACTCTTCTGCCGGTGCACACCCAGATGTTTCCATTGGGCTTGGGGATGGAGAATCCACCTGGCAACAGAGAGCTCTTGGAATCAATACTGTCATGGCATACCATACTGCAAGCTGACTTTCTGATTATAGTTAACCACCCACTCAAGAAGTTATTGTTACAAGGGTGTCTCTGCATTTGTTTTTTTCCTCAGAAAAAAAAATCTTCAATCTGTATTCTATGGCAGCACCTCTTGGAGTAATAATGTATCAAATGTTGACTAGTTTTGTAAAAGCCACAACTTTGTTGATTCAAGATTTAAACACAGTAGAAGCAAATATGAAACGTGCTGGGCTTTCCCCGCCTGCTGACATAATGGAGGGATACAATTAACTGTGTCATTTGACCAGCATCATCATCATCAAAGGTTAAATTGGCTATACTTAAATTTCAAATGATTTTTAATTAAATGGTTAGATATGGGCTAGAAGGAAAGGTACTGTTGATTTGAATGGAAGGCAGGACCTTAGATCTTTTTATCCTTCTTCCTTTCTGCACATGGGCCGAGAAAAGACAGTTTTAATTCTGGAGAGCCTCCCTGATCCTGTTTATATTGTTCAGGAAGAGTTTACCTCCCTGGTACAAAAACATTCCCTAAAGATGGCACATACAAAACACGACATGCTTTGTTCAGTTGTTTCAGTCATGTCCGACTCTTCTGACCCCATTTGGGGTTTTCTTGGCAAAGGTACTGAAGTAGTTTGTTATTTCCTTCTCCCGTGTGTCCTCATTTTACAGATGAGAAACTGAGGCAAAGAGGGATTAAGTGACTTGCCCAGGGTCACACTGCTAGTAAGTTGCATGTGAACTCAGATCTTCCTGACTCCAGGCCCACTGCTCTATCCACTGCACCACCTAGATGCCCCTCAATATAGTATAACCAACAGAAATTCAATAACTTCAAGAAGACATTCCGAAATTCCAATGATGCTTGCCAAAAGAGAGCATGCAAACAAGGCCAGTGAACTTGGCCAGTAGAAATCAGCAGTTTCTGTCTATTCCTTGTTAACACAATTCATTTGACTGACACCTTCAAGTATGTGGATAAAACATTTGGGACATCAATTGAAAGAATAATGTTCTTCTAAAAATTTTTTTCTTTATTTTTGGTTTTCAACATTCTCTTTTATAAGATTTTGAATTCCAAATTCCACCCCCCTGTCTCCTCCTCCTTGTAATCTGATATAGACTATACATGTATAATCATATTTAGCAAATTTCCACATTAGTCATGTGGTGAAAGAAGACATCAGAACAAAAGGGGAAAACCACAAGAAAGAGAAAAAAAAATAGAGAAAAAATAGTATGTATAGAGAAAAAATAGTATGCTTCGGGAATAATGTCTTTAAGAAATCAGTTACCTTAATAGGCTCAGGAGTTAGTTTCTCTTCCTTAACTGGTTCAGGCACAGGCATCCTTTCTACTGGTTTGGGGGCTTTTTTAGCAGCTACTTTTGCTATGGGAGCTTTGGCTTCCTGGAAAAAAAGAGAAGAAAAATAAAGGATTTACAGTTAGAAGAGGAAGACTCATTTATGAGACTTCAATTAAGGGAATTACCTTTTTCAGAGGTATTTTCGATGGAGGTGCCTGCTGTTGCTCACACACTTTGTTCCCAATATCACCCAGGGCCGTTCTTGGCCTCAGCCCAGGCTTGGAGGCAGCAGTGGGTACAGGCACCCTCTTGGCACCTGGGACATTGCTCTTCAGTTTACTCTCAGCACTGAGCTTCATGTTCTGCAAAGCAAACCCAAAAATATTACTTTAGAGAAAGACCAAATGGTTAAAAGGTAAAAAGTGATGAAAGTCTAACTGCACCTAGTGTTCAATTGAACTTATTTTGCTGCAAGGGTGACAGAGCAGGAAGCAAGTCTGGAAACAATAGACTTAGTAGAGGCCCCAGTCCCACGAAGGAAACAAATTTGA